GCCTCGTCGAAAGCAGTATATACATGTGCTAGCAAAAATTTGGCCAAACATATTCTAGGTTGGCCTAAGTGAAGGAGATATGCAAGGTCAAACAGATGGGAGGAGATTTGGATCGATCGAGGGCAAAAAACGTGGGTACACAACCAATACACCAAAAAGGCGATATGTTCTTCATCAGTTACAGTTATCGATTCATCATCGACGAAATGTTTCTCAAGGAAATGCCCATAAGCTTTCGATTCCCAATCGATTTTAGATCTTAGAGAGTTATCCGAGGGACATGCACCTTTAAAATATCTTTCCCCTATAGGTTCTAATCCAGTAATGGCCGCGACTTCAAAAAGGGTAGGCGAAAGAGGACCGCAAGGTAATTCAGGGCATGTATTTCCTTATTCCACAAGTGTACGGCAGCCAAGAACATAGCCATGTCCAAATGAGATAAGTCACATCGGGACAGGTGCAAAAAATAAAAAATTCCCATGCTTCTCCAATGATCTCCGAATTTAGCTTTAACCCTATCAAACCATCTAATGTACAAAGGTTTTTTGGAAGGAGGACCTGTCCGATACACCTTAGAGACAAGGTTCAAGAAATCAATCCTAACTTCAGGTTGGTGTACAAGAGCCGAACTATTCGAGAGGTTGAGGGGAGAAAAGGTTCCATCAATAGGACGAAGAGGACCCCCAAAAGCGTAATTAACACCATCAGCAGTGTAAGGAATAAGTACCTACGTCTCAGCAATTTTCCGAGAAGTTTCCTCCATCAGAGGGACTGGAGCGAACTTCTGATTGTTGATCTCCAGCAGGTTCGATGCCAATGAAGGAAGGGGTGGAGCGGAAAAGTCAGAAGACTTGGAAGAAGTTGTCATTTCAGTAATTGGTAGATTAGAGGAAAACAAGGTAAGAGATGGAGGCGCAAGGATGAAGACAAAAGCTCAAGGAAGAAGATGAAGTTGCAAAGGGATAAAGGTTCGCGTAAAAAACCAGAGTAAAAAAACCAATAGAGAGTTTAAAGGGAAAATAGCCTAGGGGCTGGAAACGACGGAGGTGAAAGGTAATTAATGTAGTGTGTACAGTAAGACAACAGACTGACGCGATGGCGACATAAAGCAAAAGGAAACTTGAAAACCCTGTAAACCCTAGAACCCCAAAAACCCTAAACCCTAAGTTTTGTGGGCCTCCAACAAGCAAAGGCGGGAATCATGTTGAAAGAATATAAACAGAAACTATTTATATTCTTCCAAGGGGGCATTTTGTTAGTAGGAAATCGAGAAAAGCGATCGAAAAATGAAGAAAAGAAAAATCGAGAAACATGTGATTGATCGGTAAAGCGAAAAGGTGGATGAGAAACCATTCGATGTCCAATTAGAAGGGCATGGCACATAAAATCGAAAGTTAGAGTCGGAATCGGAGAAATAATAGTCAAAAGTTTATTGTGGAACAAACCAAGAAATTAGAAGTATATGATGCTAAGGTTAAAAGGAATCAAAAGTAATCCAAAGTTCTCGATAAAATTGAAGTCTAAATCGAAAGAAAGGTTAACCCGCATAAATATCAAAATCGTGGCCAGATCATAAAGAGAAGGAGTTAAACACGCACATAAGAAACAATTTCTAAATCGTGGCAGAGGTTGAAGATCATGGGAACGTGGGTGCAGTTTTGACACCACAGAAGAAGAAACTGCAACGCGCACGAAGAACGTGGTAGCAGTTTTGTTAACTGCTCCTAGAAGGCTTGAATGATGCCCTATAAATAGAGCAGAGGAAGAAGGAATAAGGGGGGCGGAAATTGGCAGAGAACAGGATTAGTAGTGAAAAAAGTCTACCGGAGAAACGATGAACACCATGAAACTTCTGGCAATCTGGATTTCTATGCTCACGGAGTACCTTTATCGCTTTCTTTATTTTCCTTGGTAATTTATTTTGATGCAATTTATATTCAGCAATTTTATGTTTATGTATTTTCGATTCTTGGTCATTTCGATTCAATGCAAGTTAAGTTTCCGTATTTAAATTCCCTAGTCATTTTACATTAATGCAATTTCGATTTCCAGTCATCTATTGCACCTTTGATTTACTCGTCCTTTACATTTCCGCAAATTCGATTTCTCGTTATTTATATCGTTTCGTTTCGATTCCTCGTCTTTTACACTTAAAGCAAATTTAAGATTCTCGTAGTTTACATTTCTTTGCAATCTAAGTTTCAAGACTGATTTTCGATTCCATATATTTTCTCGCTTTCTTTACTTCGAGTATTCTTAATACAAAATACTAAAAATAGTATCTTTAAAATCGGGTAAAATTCGATCTTCATACATATTTTGATTGAAAATTAATTTGCTAGCCTAAGCAAAAAGAACTTACGTGGTGGAATTTTGATTAGGATCAAAATATCTTAAGAGTCAAAATCGATTGAAATTCCACCAAAAACAAAATGTCACTTAATTTTTCAATATCTTGCACATGAATTTTGCTTTTGTTTTTCGTTGATCTTGTTTGTATGCTTAATTAATATTAAACATCATTAACATTGATACTTCTTAATATTAAACTCTAATTTTGTAAGTGTATTTCGATTTACCATCAAGAAATAGGCAACTCCGTATTTCCGTGGAAGCACTCGCGGCATTGAATGCGGAAGAAAAGACCCAAAGTTCCATCATAGAAATTTATAAATTTTTTAGTAAAACTAGAATAACGAACACATCACGAAAAGTTCAACTTAATAACAGTGCTTTTATAGCTCATGATATTTTTTCTTAAATATAATTCTAAAAATGTTAACTAGCCTCTTCATTAAAAAATTAAATTTGTTATTCACGATATTTATAAAAAAAGTTATTATTAAGATTTAATATTTTGATTATAAAATAATAAATATTTCAAAAACATAAAAAGTACTATAGCATAAGACAGAAAAAAGTAATAGTTGTACTATCGTCGTGTGTTTATTGGAGCAACAGAGACGAGGCAACGCACTTTGTTGACCAGCTGTTGACTTTTATGGAGTGATTAGACATTTGAGTGATACTTCACCAACAGATATCACACAAAAAAACATAAATAAATAGAAAACATGATTAATTACTCATTTCATTTTTTAAATGTTTCGCCTTTTTTACAAAAAATAAATGTATATTTTAATTTCTGCATCTCCCTTTCATGAGTTAAGTAAAATCCCCACAATAGCGATTTTATATATAAGATGTTTCTTAAATAAGATAAAAAGAACAAGTATTATAAGGAGAAATAATTCTTAGCTTGTTGGGTGGGTGAGTGTGAAACAATGCTTACGCTGACTTTGCATGATCACAACCGCAAAACCTAAGAAAGTGTTTGGATTTGGAATGTTCCCACCAACTTTACGCTCACGATGTCGTCTTCTATGCGTTCCACACACATGCATACCAAACAAACAATCTCAAGTTTTATTGCTATTTCGCCCTAACATGTAACTTCAATAAACCTACCAGCACCGAATAATACTCATCTAATGCTTTCGTTTCTCTTACTTATTCCTTCCTTACTCACCCATTCTTGGGTGGTCCTGTTCTTCACCAAGGAATACTGCAATCTTGTTTGCTTTATTTCTTATTCTGCAACTTTCGTTTTCTTGTTCATGAATACAGACAACGAACCCCGTTACTTATTCTTCTAACTCTGTCTCTGCTTTTCATCGTAACATTTTAAATAATAATGCCATACAGAAAATATCACACACTCATTCTCACGTGTGATTATCAATTGATTTTAATATACTTCTTCAAATCTATATCAGCTAGTCACAATTTTCACTAATTAAACGCGATTAAATAAAATAGTGTCTTATTTTTTCATCACAATTATTACGACAAAACAATTTCTCATCATAAGATTATATATTAAGTAAATGATCCCGAATTCCAGATTATTGACATTAATTTTGGCATTAAATTAAAGGGGAAATGGGACAGAAAAATTATCTTTAACAATAACATATTTTACGAATTTATCATTTAAAAACGATGACGTGTTTTATGTTCCTACAAATTAAACAATTATTTTTAAAATAATACTACAAAATACTATTATATGATTGTTTTTTTTTTCGTACAATTATTTTTTATTAGTATAATATTGACTTTATACATTAATTGTAACAACCTCCACATCCTACTGATAAAAAAATTACAATTTATTTTTCAGTTAACCAATAAAAAATTATAACAAATTTAACTGTTAAGATAAATTTTATAACAATCCTTAACTTTATATGTATATATATATATATATATATATATATATATATATATATATATATATATATATATATGTATGTATGTATGTATGACAGTTTTCTATTAAATGATAGTATACATTCTCTTTACAATATTTAATTATAAATATATAATTTTATTGATGGTTATATTCATACAAATATAATAAATTATATTTGTAATAATTCCTATTCAACAGAAACAAAATTAAATAATTAAGAAAAGATAATACTTGAATTAATTTAAAAACTAAAATTAAATTCCGTAATATTCATTTAAAATATTTTTTATAATTAAAAAAAATATTTTTAATTTAAAGAAATCGTATGTAACATAGATTAATCAACATTTATAGAGACTAGTTTGTTATTTTTATTTGGAAGTTAATAGAAAAAAAGTATGTTCCTAACTGTCTTATTTATTAATATTCTAAATATAGCTTATAGTTTTGATTTGTAAGAAGAATAGGGAATGGATTTTTACAGTAGTTTCAGTCTCGTTTATTTCCATGTTCACTTTACCCCGCACTGTCTCTCTCGTCTTTCTGCACCAAAACAACTCACTTCACTACTTCTCTCTCTGCTGAACACGACAAAAAATTCTGATTCCAAACACCTCAACAAAACCTTCTCAGTTCCCACTCCACAATTTCCACACGCACTCACTTCACTTAACACACATCGTTTTCATTTTCCACCGCCATCAAACCATTCTCTCTGTCTCTCTTCTAGAGAGAGAATTTCGCTATGAAATCCAAAGCCGGCGGAAACGGCCTCACGAGCGAGGCCGGCGGCGGAGGAAGCAGCAGTTCTCCTAGTCCACCGCCGTCACCGCGGCGGAACTCTGGCGTTCCGAGGTGCCGGAGGCGGCTTCGACCGGCGAAGGACTTGTTGGAGAGTCGGCGGCTAGTCGCCGGCATCATGGCGCGGCGGAGCCTCCGGTACTTCTTCCTGCTGCCGGTGGTGTACATCTCCGGGTTGTTGATGTGCGTGGGGCCCTTCTCCGCCCTCATTGGCCACTCTCCTCTTCCAGGTTCCCGGTACCGCAGTCACGAGATCTTCCACAACCTCTGGCACCATATCGAAACCGATAATTCCTCTGTCATTGAGGTGCGTAACCGAACCAACGAGATTAATGCATCATAATCATAAACCATGTGCTCATTAAATATTTTATTATCCTTATTTTTTGTTCACTTATTATATTGATTAATTGAAGAGAAAAATCGACCTAGTTTTATCTATAACTAAAGCGAGTAGTTTATCACAATGTGTGTATATAAATTCGAAAAATGTCTATATTTAGTGTAAAACAGTACCTCCATCAAGATCTAATTTTCACTTTTTGATGAAAAAATTCTCTACCATTAATGGCGCACTAATTCCTTTCTGCTCTTTACTCTCAAAGTGGTACTCAAATTAGAGTGATATATATATCTCTAGTAATGGTCTCTACATGAGGATAACTGGACAATGTTCTAAGAGAATTTTGTTGGATTTAATTTTAATCAGTGTATAGTTAGTTTCATCTGATTTTCCTTCTCAATAGTCACAGTAGGGAAAAAAAAACTCAGAATCATACAGAGAGTCTGTTTTTTTTTTTTTTTTTTTTGAATATGTTTTTGTCTTTTTGCAGTTGGCTTCTGTGTGGAAGTACAAAAGGAAATTGAGGGAGCAAAAGCCTTGTCCGAATTTGACGGCTTTGCATCGCGAACATTTTGGTAATCGATAGTAATTTGCTAATTTGGAGTTTAGCATAAAAGTAAAGTTTGTGTGCGATTTTAATTCGTTGATTTCTCTTAATTTCAGTGTCGCCTGGACGGAATGGTTTTTTGATTGTGGAGGCCAATGGGGGTCTTAACCAGCAACGCTCTGCGGTGAGGCAAAGGCTTCCCTTTCCCTGATTTGGAGCGGTTTTGTTTTGGTTTGAAAAATGATATAGTTTTTTGACAATGGTGTTTCTTGAATTGTTAGATTTGTAATGCTGTGGCTGTGGCTGGGCTCCTGAATGCAATACTAGTTATACCTCAGTTTGAGTTTCACAATGTGTGGAAAGATCCAAGGTGACCAATTTACACATTATCTTTTTACCTTTGAACCTATAGGAAAAAGGAGCATGTTTATCACATTTTATTTGGTTTACATTCCTGGTTACACTAACGAGAACACAGGCCTTCTCTGATGCATTGTTATGAGATAAATCGTTTCTTAAGTTGAACGTCTCTGTTTACAATATTTCAAAATCTAAAAAACAAAATAGGCTATTGCCATTATATGAGACAACTTATTTGGTATGGCAATAAGAAACACACAGCTTCATTCCGTAGATGTTATCATCTAAGAAACCTTTCGGCTCATATCTTGGTAATTACTACTTTGCAAACTTTTGTTACTGTTTTTCTAGTGTACTGATTATTTAGTTAAACATGTTTGTACAAGTCACTGAATAAGTAGTGCTACATTCACATTGCTGTGTATGCAACAAATACTAAACCTATTTGACAGATCACAACACCTAGGACGAGAAGCATATCGTCCTGCAATATAATTTGTAACATTAATTAGAACGTTTAACTTTTTGGGTATATCTTAGTACCTTTGTCATAGTGATATGATTGGTCAAACATTACTTGATTAAATTTTTTGTAACCATTAACAATGATGAAGTTCAAGTAGCCCTCATTGGGTATATGAATGTTCTCCTGACAAAACAGTCTACACAAAAGTTAACAATTAAATATGGAATGCAAAGAACATTATTATGACTCTTATATTTTCCTTACTTATTCCAATAGTTACTTCTAATTAAAATAATATAATTTCTCTTACAGTGAATTTGGGGATATATATGATGATGGTCATTTTATATCCACACTTGATGGTTATGTGAAGGTGGTCAAAGAACTGCCTGAGGCACTAATGGAGCGGCATAGTTACAATATGAGTAATATCACTAACATAAGAGTTCAAGCGTGGGCTCCTGTCAGTTATTACCTTGGAGTTGTTTCTCCTATCTTGCAAAAGGAAGGGTTGGTATTAAGCCTCTTTTCCTCATCTTTTATTCATCCTTTTGATATTTTTAAAAGGAAAAATGTTGGTTTTTTCCCTTCATAAAAAAGATTTAGGTGAAACTGAACACTGAAGTGAGTTCAAATTAGGCATTTGATACAATTTGGATTTTTTGAATTTGATGTAAAGAATTTTATTGTCCATATACAGGGTAATTCGAATTGCTCCATTTGCCAATCGTTTGGCAATGAGTGTTCCTCCACATATTCAATTTCTAAGATGTCTCACTAATTATAAAGCATTGAGATTTTCTTCTTCAATATCTGCTCTAGCAAAGAAATTAGTTTACCGAATGATTGAGAAGAGCTCAAGGACAGACGGAAAATACATTGCTGTGCATCTTCGTTTTGAGGAGGTACTGATGCTCATTCAATTATGTTGGAACTGGTAGTTAGTGTCAATATATGAGACTGGTAAAAAGGGTAAAGGATTGAAGAATCAGCTTTATCTAATGATTGATTAAATCTTCTCAACATGCAGGATATGGTGGCATTCTCCTGTTGCGTATATGATGGAGGAGAGGCAGAAAAATTGGAAATGGATTCTGCTCGAGAAAAAGGGTGGAGGGGCAAATTTAAAAGAAAGGACCGTAAAATTTTACCTGACCTTAATCGGGTTGAAGGAAAATGCCCGCTAACCCCACTAGAGGTACTTCTTACTTTTCCATGCTGATCCGAAGTTAAACTTTGTTTTTCTTTCCTTCTCTGTATAAATATGTCCCATCTCAAGCACTCATGTTATTGACTTCAAAATGTGATGCCATCAATATTTTTCTTAGTAGTACCTTTTCCTGATACCAGATATTAGTTTCACTATCTGTACATGCTTTCATTTTAATTAATTTAGTGAAAGAATGGTATGATGAGATGAAAATCAAACTAATGTATCAATTTTAAATTGTGTGAAGGCTGATATTATATGAAAGAGACTGATGTTAGTTGCGTATTGTCTTCCTTAACTACGTAGGTTGGTATGATGCTTCGTGGCATGGGATTTGATAACAATACTGCAATATACTTAGCTTCTGGGAAAATATATCATGCAGAGAGATATTTGGCACCTTTGATGAAGATGTTTCCGTCTCTTTATACAAAGGAATCTCTTGCAACATCAGATGAGCTTGCTCCTTTTATGGTAAGATCCTCGCTTGTTAAAAAACTAGAACAACAAATGTCATGCTCATTCTATGAAACTTGATGGCTTCAAAGTGCTTCAGTTTCTGTTTTATTTTTATTTCTTTCTCATAGCAGCCTGTAGACTGGAGCATATTAACTTGATTCTAGTTGACATGTCTTGTTTATAACTCTTCTAGAAGCACCGGTTTCTTTTCATTTCACGCAGCAAATATTTAAAATTTTCTTGTCCTTTCATGATAAAATATATAAATTAATATGTGCACACACGTTTAATAAGTTAATTAAAAAAAATTATTTGCATCTGATATAGATGTATCATCTACATGACCATGCGAGAAAATTTGATAACTAATTAATTGGAATTAGTGGCAGACTTACAGCAACAAGAAACATAACAACAAAATTAGCCTTATCCCACTAGGTGAAATTAGTTGCATGAATCACACAAACATCATTGGACTTGTTTAGAAATCAAATTCTTATCAACGATTTACATGAGTTTCCTTTTAATAATTTCCTTTAATATCCTTCTTGATCTCCGTCTACCAACTTTTCACTTGTTCAAATCACCCCTACTTGATTATTTATCATCTTTTCCTCAATAGGTGTCACAACAATGTCTTGTGATATACAAGCACTTTGTATCTTTCCCTTTCATATATGACCACATATATATTCATTCCTACTATTCCCATTTTTTATTCTTGTATTTAAAGCTCAACGTTCACTACCATAGTATAGTTGGTTGTTTAGCAGTACAATAAAGTTTCACTTTGAGCTTACAAATTTCTAAGTTGTATCAACCAATTACTAAAATTTCAAATGTAAGTTCATAGATTTGGGTTGGACCTGCAAACTAAAGCTCATCAATTTGAAAAAAATTATCAGCAGTTTTAGACTTTAAATGCTGCACTTTTAGCTTTTGGTTTTTATAACCTCAAGAATGCATGTGATGATAAAGGATGTAACTAATTATTTATATATATATATATATATATATATATATATATATATATATATATATATATATATATATATATATATATATATATATATATATATATATATATATATATATATATAATATATATCTGTGTGTTCTTAAAATAAAAATGGATTCATATTGTGGTTCTTTATCCACTCATTCTCGTAGTTTCTGTCTTGATGGTTGGTTATAACTTGTAAGTACGTCGTTGCTGCAACTTTTCTGTGGTTAAAAAAACAAATAAATAAATAAAATCTTATGTACACGTTAATTTAATAATACTCTTTCATAGTGTGTATGTTGTAATATTTGTGGGGAGTTTCCAGTATTCTCTAATGCCTATTTTCATATTTTTCTAGGGCTATTCCTCCCAATTAGCTGCTCTGGACTACACTGTATGCTTGTCTAGTGAGGTTTTTGTAACAACTCAGGGTGGTAACTTCCCTCATTTTTTGATGGGACATAGAAGATTCCTCTATGATGGCCATGCTAAGACAATTATCCCAGATAAGCGCAAGCTAGTTGTCCTTTTGGATGACTTAAGTATTAGGTATACTCTCTCTCTCTCACTCTCACACACACACACATTCTCCATTTATAGCTACTATACACTCTGTTTAAACATTTCAAATGATTCTTAGGAATATTTAATTTTGTTTCTGTTGCCAAATCCAAATATGAGTCTAAGTCTCCTATTGAGAAAGTGAGTAACATATAAGAAAGACAGACCCATAATTTAATCACATAATCCATCAGTTTTGTTGGGTCTTTTGAGAGAGAATTCACTAGAGAGAAAGACTTGAATCATATGTTGTCTTGATTTAAAAATAAATATTTAGTGATAATAGTTACTTGGTGGGATTCACATCGTAGGTACGGGTCTGTTCTACGAAATAATATATTAACTAATTGGAGTTTCTCCTAGACTTGAATGTGAATCTTATGATTTATATAAAACAAAATTGAAAGGCTGACAATTTGTTACTAAAACTTAACATATATCTTCTTTTAACCAAAAGAGAGGAGAAGTTGATGTTTGATTTAAACTTATTTTTGACAAATAATTGCTTATTTTATCAGCATTTTACAAGAGTTTCTGATTAAGAACATTTACTAGTTTCCAGAAATAATCCATTCCCAAACACCCACCTATGGTTTAAAAATGATATTTGCAGCACTTGAACTTTGAAACTCTGAAGAGTATTGATTTTAGTATGACATTTATTGTTAGAGCATACTCAGATACTAATCTACCACTGAATATTAACTTTAATCCTGTAATGCCACAGCAAAATAAATACAAGATAGTGAAAACCATTAGTTGGTACTTGGGAAAGTTTTTCGAAGCTCTAGTCATAGCTGTTAATGGAAGGGATTATATTTACTTTGTCTATTAACCATAAAAAGGGTTTCTTTTAGCTTCAATGCTACCAGGTTTTATGTAGAGGTCTCATAATTTTCTGTAGTTTTTACCACTAGTAAATTCTGTTTTGTTAGAACAGCTTTGTTTTTGTGTGATTACATTATACTTCGTTGTTGAATTTTGTTTGGCTTGAATATGTCTCTTACTGTAGTTGTTCGTCGTTGTCTGAATGTTACATTTAGTTGTAATCTGGATTTAGTATGAGGGATAGGCTATGCCATCACCGGAAGATACTAGATGATGGAAAATATTTGTGCATCGGTTTTGCAGTTGGAGAGCTTTCAAGGATCAGATGGAAGACATGCTCAGTGAAAGTGACCGCAAAGGAATCATGGTACCTAGAGTTAGAAAAATAAACAGAAAAACTTCTGTCTACACGTACCCCTTACCAGAATGCAGGTGCCTACAGCAGTCTCTTGCCAATCAAATTGACCACAATCTTGACGTTCTGTATAATTACAACGGAACAAAAGCTTAAATGGAGACATGTTTCATTTGTTCCAACATTTATGCGCGGTTATCAGAAATCATTACCAATTCCAAGGCCTTGGTGCTTCGACTTCCAATTCTGCGGCCTCTCGAAGTTGCTTTTTCGTTTGGCAAGGTGTGGCTATTCCTGTTATTATCACAGGAGAGATTTCTAGTTCATAATTGGCTGCTGCAACTCTGAAGATTTTGTCTGCATGTTACTTACTTTACACAGTGGACAGTTCCTAGCTTCCATTTAAAGGTTGGAAAACACTGCACCAACATATTCTACCAAAGGATATAGCAGAACTCATAGAGTCAGACTTTTTCCCCTCTAATCAATGTTTTTTGAACTGACATCTTCATTTTTTGTTTATTGTATGAAAATATTAGGCTTGAAGAAAGATTGTAATCTGTCGACTAAGTGAGCATACTTTATTTTGACCCATAGTCAAAGGGGAGATCCTTATAGTTCACGAGTGGGTTTGTTTTCCCTCCCACATTTTCTAAATGTAATTTAATGTCTTCTGTATATTCTTTTCGTTTATATCACTAACATCATTTAAGCTCTTAAATGATCCTTGGAAAAACAAGTTATGAAGATGGGAGTTTGGATTGTCATGACAATAACTGAAAATTGTTACTGGTAATGCAGTGTAGAAAGAAACCATAGTCCAAATTGTATGAATGAAGATAGTTGCGTCAAGGAAAGATTAATGAACTCCAACATGAGTTGATTTTTTTTTTTCCAAATTTGTTAAATATTGCTTTAGTAGCCTTTTATAAGTAATTCTAGGTTTGACTTTTATGTCTAAAATTTTTTATTTGATCGTTGAGTTTTAAAAGAGTCGATTTCGTTTTGAAAGAATAGGAAAAGAGAATAGATATAATATGGAAAAGTTTTTTTACAATCAATATTTAAGAATAGATAATTTTAAAATATTATTTTTTTATTGATTGAGAAAATGAAATAAAATAGATAAATAATAATATAAAAATTTAAAAATAAATTGTTGTATGGATGTTTTGTTCTTTTTGTTCAATCAAAATTTCATTATTATTGAAGGCATGTTTAATAACTGCTTTGCTTGTCTTTTTTAGGATAATGATTACTTGGCTCAAGATGGAATATTTCTTTCCACACCCTAAAACAAATCCATGACTATCCTTCACCCCGAGATGGGCATTGTACAGTACTTATTTCGGAAGGAAAGTTGGGCTTTTGAAGATAAGCTAAAAAGGATTACTCTTTTAAGGGATATTTCTATATATTTATATATTCATATATTTATATATAATTAAATATTTATTTTTAAACCCAACATATTTTGGTGTTTTGCTATTCAACATGCAACCTTACTTATTAACTTCATTTCTAAACCTCTACTTCGGTAACACCTCATCTCATGAAAAATTACACGGGATCTTATATGATAAAACTAATATACGTATTTTTAGTTGTCTCTGTTATGCCAACACACTTATATCTCAAAGAAAAAAACTTGATGATAGAATTGTACCTGACATTTTTCTTGGTTACAAACCACACATAAAAGGATTCATATTTTTAAACCTTCATAATCATAATATTTCTATTGCTCGTAAAGTTAAGTTTTATGAAAATATTTTTCCCTATTAGAAACAATCATAGACATACAAAGATCCTAAAAGTTTATCTCTCTTTATAATAACTATGCTCTTACTGATAATGAATTTAATGATTCTTCACCCAATCATGTTGATGACAATACAAAACACGAAATCCTTCCAAGATCTGATTCAGAAGAGGCTATTTAAGACAATATAGATCACACACTAGACGACAATAATTTATGACGATCCTCTAGAATCAGGAAAGCTCCCTTTCATTTTCAAGTCTTTCATCTGACTTCATCACATAAACTTTCAACTAAATATCCCATAGAATAGTGCCTATCTTATAATAATATTTCTTCCTCATTCAAATTTTTCATCTCATCCATTTCATCTATTACTGAACCATGTAATTTTACCGAAGCCACAAAATCAACCCAATGGAATCAAGCTATGAATGAAAAACACGCGGCTATTAAGAACAACAAAACCTGGATCATCACTGGTCTTCCTCCAGGGAAAATAGCTATCAGACGTCATTGGGTGTATAAGATCAAATATCACTCTAACGAAAAAAATAGAACATTATAAAGCTAGACTCGTTGCAAAGGGATATAATCAACTCGAAGGTTTGGATTACTTGGATACTTTTTTACGACACTCGAATAGAAGGGAAACAATTTAGGGTTAGGTTTTAAGAGTTGATTTGATTGGAAATAGAAAACAGAAAAACATAAAGAATACCGTAGGCGCCACAAATAAGAATATTTGATAAGCCAAGAGGGGTCACCACAAGAATTGGATAATTCTTGATAAGATCAAGTGATGCAAGGAATAACCCTAGCAGAGCAATAACTCACAAAGTGATTCTGAATATTACGTCCCTTCATTTTCAATTTCCAAATGTTTAATACAACTTAAGTTTATGAGTTTGTCTCATTGCAAGAAATAAAGATAAATTAAAATCTCAATATCCTAAGAAAAGTTAAGTTGCCCAGATGGTTCAGTGAAGACATTATAAGCTTTGGGTCTTAGGTTCAAATCCCCACTGTAGCAAATAATAATAAAAATAATAACTAAATCTTCTATTTGGGCCTCCTAGCTCTCCAAATATTTTATGCATGTGATAGAGCTAGACTCCTCCATGTTTAGAGCTTTTAATAATTAGGCCTTTAGCAAATTGGTCATTTTGTGTTGCAATGCCTCTTGTGCTTTACTGGGCCTGCCTTTATGTCCACATCATTCCCTCCTTCTTGGGCAGCATTTGTCCTCAAATCTATGAATTCATCTCCTGCATCAAAAGGAGTCAAGTCAGCAACATTAAAAGAAGAACTTACATTATACTCTCCTGGTAGATCAATCTTATAAGCATTATCATTGATCTTCTCTAAGACTTGGAATGACCCATCTCCTCTAGGTTGAAGTTTAGACTTTCTTTGTTCAGGAAACCTTTCCTTTCTCATGTGTACCAAAACCCATTCACCAGGTTGGAACACCACCTTTTTCCTACCCTTATTAGCTTGCCTCGCGTAGCTCTCATTCTTCTTTTCAATTTGAGCTTTTACTTGCTCGTGCAACTTCTTCATATATTCTGTTTTAGCTTGTGCTTCCTTATGCTTAAACATAGAAATGTTAAGCAAAGACAACAAATCAAGAGGAGTCAAAGAATTAAATCCATACACAATCTCAAATGGTGAACAATTAGTGGTGCTATGAATAACCCGATTATAAGCAAACTCAACATGCGGTAAACATGTTTCCCAAGTCTTAAGATTTTTCTTTAAAATAGTCCTAAGCAATGTGCCTAAAGTCTTGTTGACTACCTCAGTTTGACCATCAGTTTGTGGGTGACAAGTAGTAGAAAACAATAATTTAGTATCAATCTTACCCCACAAGGTCCTCCAAAAGTGACTGAGGAATTTTAAATCCCTATCACTCACAATGCTCCTCGGCAGCCCATGTAGCCTTACTACTTCCTTGAAAAACAAATCAGCCACATGACAAGCATCATCTACCTTCTTGTAAGGTATGAAATGTGCCATCTTAGAAAACCTATCAACAACAACAAACACAGAATAATTTCCATTCTTTGTTTTAGGCAGTCCTAAAATAAAGTCCATAGAAATGTCAGTCCAAGGATATTCAGGAACAGATAAAGGAGTATACAACTCATGAGGCTTAACCTTAGATTTAGTCTTTTTACACACAATGCAATGATCACAAAACTTATTCACATCACGTTTCATATGAGGCCAAAAGAAATGCTCTTGCAAAAAATCTAAAGTCTTTTGACCCCAAAATGACCCATCAAACCCCCTTCATGTGATTCACTCACAAGCAACTCTCTAATGGAACACTTAGGCACACACAATTTATTTTCTTTAAACAAGAATCCATTATGCCTAAAGTAACCATTTTTAGAAAACTTTTCACATGAAGCAAAAGTTTCAGCAAAATCCACATCATTCACATACATGTCTTTCAAAGATTCAAGACTAAACAATTTAGTTTCAAGCATAGAAAGTAATGCATGTCTCCTAGAAAGTGCATCAGCTACTACATTCCCTTTTCCCTTTTTATGCTTGATGACATATGGAAATTGCTCCAAGAACTCAACCCATTTGACATGCCTCTTGTTTAACTTACCTTGTCCCTTTAAGTATTTCAAAGATTCATGATCACTATGAATTACAAACTCTTTTGGTAAAAGGTAATGTTGCCAAGTTTGTAAAGCACGCACTAAGGCATACAATTCTTTATCATAGGTGGGATAGTTTAGGGCACCCCCATTCAATTTCTCACTAAAATAAGCAATTGGATGACCTTCTTGTAGCAAAACAACCCCAATACCCACATTAGATGCATCACATTCAATTTCAAAAGATTTTACAAAATTTGGTAATGCAAGAATGGGGGCATTAGATAGTTTGTGCTTAAGTTCAGAAAATGCCTTTACTTGTTTTTCACTCCATTTAAACCCAACATGTTTTTTGACTATTTCATTAAGAGGTGCAGCCAAAGTACTAAAGTCTTTAACAAACCTCCTATAGAAACTAGTTAACCCATGAAAGCTTCTCACTTCACTCACATTCTTAGGGGTAGACCACTCTTGGATGACTCTAATCTTTTCCTCATCAACTTGTACCCCTTTAGAACTCACAACAAATCCCAAGAACACAACATGATCAATACAAAAGGTACATTTTTCAAGATTAGCAAATAATTTTTCCTTTCTAAGCACATTCATGACAGCACGCAAATGTTCAACATGCAAATTAAAATTAGTGCTATATATCAAAATATCATCAAAATACACCACTACACATTTTCCTAAAAACTCTTTCAAGACATGGTTCATCAATCTCATAAAAGTGCTTGAAGCATTAGTTAACCCAAAGGGCATAACTAACCACTCAT